AGAGACGGGGTTTCACCATGTTGACCAGGATGGTCTCGATCTCTTGACCTCGTGATCCACCCACCTCGGCCTCCCAAAGTGCTGGGATTACAGGCGTGAGCCACCGCGCCCGCGGGTTCGGTGCTATCTGCAGTTTCAGGCATCCCCTGGGGGTCTTGGAACATACTCCCAATGGATAAGTGGGGACTACTGTATGTCCACTAGCTAGAAGATATATCAGAATGCTCTCTCCTAAAACAAACTGCCAAATGGGAAAATCCATACAGTAATGCCTTATTTGACCGTATTCAGGTACAGTTTCCTTCCACATAATTTAGCCTTCCGGATAATGGAAATATATTCCTTCAATAGCCATTTTTTTTAATTACACCATTGCCCACCACCAAAAGAGGCTTTAAAATACAATATAATCCTCCTTAATGATGCAGCAAGGTCATCATCATTGTGAACATCCATCACTAACTACAGAGTAGAGTAATAATACTGCTCAATGTCCGCTTCTGAATTCTCTCCCTCCCACGTCATGTTGGTTGTCACTCTTCTTCCTGCTCTGGCTGCCTCTGATGGTCCCATCTCTCCTCCTCATTGCTGCCTCTACTATGCAATCCACCAGAACTACTACTGCATGTGCCTGGTCATGTCAATTCCTGGTTTGTCTTCCATTCAAAGGACAAGAGCCAGTGTCTTGAATTCCCAGGGAACTGCTAAGATAAGAAACTCAGATAGTAGGTGACAGTAAATTTGAGGCTTTTCTGCCTCCTATTAGTCTAAAATTTCAAATGGCCATCTGGCTCCTGCAGCATCTGTAGCTACTTCTGAGGTCTCTTTCCTCTGTCAATGGCTTATTCTCCTGACACACATACCCCCAACACTGCTGCCACCATCACTGCCACTCCCCTCCCCAACTAAATGTCAATCCATAAACATCCACTGATTATCAAATAATCAAATGCTCTTTCTTCTGTGCGCTGAATCCAAGTACTCATTCCTTCCTTCCTTCCTTTCTTCCTTTCTTCCTTTCTTTCTTTCTTTCTCTCTCTCTCTCTCTTTCTTTCTTTCTTTCTTTCTTTCTTTCTTTCTTTCTTTCTTTCTTTCTTTTTCTTTCTTTCCTCTCTCTTTCTCTCTCTCTCTCTCTCTTTCTCTCTTTCTCTCTTTCTTTCTTTCTTTCTTTCTTTTTTTGAGACAGAGTCTTGCCCTGTTGCCCAGGTTGGAGTGCAATGGTGTGATCTTGGTTCACTGCAACCTCTGCCTCCCAGGTTCAAGCAATTCTCACATCAGCCTCCTGAGCAGCTAGCATTACAGGTGTATACCTCCACACCTGGCTAAATTTTGTATTTTTAATAGAGACCAGGATTCACCACGTTGGCCAGGCTGGTCTTGAATTCCTGACCTCAAGGGATCCGCCCGCCTCGGCCTCCCAAAGTGCTGGGATTACGGGCATGAGCCACCACACCCGGCCCAAAGTACCAAAGTACTCACTTCTAACATGGACCATGTATAGAGAAGAGTATGAAAGAGTGAATAAGTAGGTACTTATAAATATTTGCTATTAATATATTTGAAGCCCTAAGATAACTGATTTGGGGATTATTCTTTCTCTCTGTCTTAACTTTCTCCTACCTTCTATCCAGAATGGATAATTGGGAATTGACTCAAGTTAGAAATTAGTGATTATGTTTTTATCTCTAAGTGGCAAATTTCGTTTACTGAGCAAGTAAGTTACAAGCTGGTTAAAATTCAATTTCATTTTTCCTTACCCTGAGGAAGTAAGAAATATAATTAGTTTTCAATTCATACCCGATTACATTTATTTAAAAAAAAAAAAAAAAACCACATCTATTTTCATTTAAACAAGAGAAATTTAATCAGAAAATATTCATAAAACTGTGCTTCTCAAAGTGTGGGCTCTCAAAGCATATGATATGGGTCACGCATAGAATCACCTACCTAAGGGCACGGACCTGCTATGTCAGATTCCTGAGAGTGGGACAGACATTGGTGGGAGCCATTTAACTTAACAGAAGGTTTTGACTGAATGTGCCCTTTCCTAATGGAAATCTCCTTCTAGATGCACACTGTCCTAGTGTTTGGATTAAGCCTAAGGCATATGGATTTCTACAGAGATTGCATCCTAGTCTCCCTTCCTTGTGCCCTGGGTTATCTGTCATTAACCTATTCTAAGGCACCACCTGTTCCCTTCAACTAACACTCTCCCCTTCCCTGGCTTACTTTCAGTCTCTTCCTATCCTCTGGTTCCTTCTGAGATTGTCTAATGGATTTGACTCTTTTCAATAGTGGTTAAGGAGAGACCTAAACAACAGAAAAAACAAACTCACAATTCTAAAAGTCTCAAAAATACAGCTCCGTAGTAAAAGTCACTGGCTGGAATGTAAACAGGCAGGCTCTGATTTTAGCTCCTCACTCTCAGGGTCACCCATCCCTTCCATTTGCTGTCTGTAGTTCTTTCCTCATCCTTTGCAGACAGCTGCCACTGTCCACTGATGACAGCCTGGCCTTGGCAACCTATGATCTGCTGTCTTACCAGAGGCCCAGCTGCACAGGTAAGGGTCTGATGTCAGTCTCACATTCCTCCACTGTCAAACACATACCAGTCTACTCAGAGGCTTTTTCACTAATTTAACAAAACTACTCAGCAGTATTTATCAATTATTTACAATATTCCAGCATTGGGCTAGAGTTTTAGTCCCTGGACAACATCTAAATGTGTTCTGGTGTCTGAGTTTTGCAGAAAGCAGACGTCTTGATGAATGAGGACTTACTCTATTTTTTTTTTTAACCCATGAGTAGGCTAATTATCAGTCTAATCTTTCCAAATGTGAGAATTTCCTTTGTAGCTCTTTGGGGGTCACTAGGTTTTTCATAAGCTTTTTTAGCAGAGAAAGGATTATGCTTGTCTATTTTTAATAATTTTATACTTGAAGTGCCTTTATTAAATAGAATTCAACAAAAGCAGCTAAAGGTAGCCAAAACTGATATGAGGCTAATATCAGTAAACAGAAAATTCAATAAAAGGAAAATTTAAAGAAATATACTTAGGAAATTTGGATACCTTGTAGAACCAGCCCTTCTAACAGCTACAATGTACTCTCCCCTACTCTCTCCTTTTCTTTCCTTTAAAGAAATCTCTAGGTTTGAGGAGGGCCAGCTCCTACTGACTCCCTTCAGTCACAGCTGGGCCCTCTGAGGATACTGCAGTGACCAGGTAGCAAATCTCTGAAGCCACTGTTCTGAAGCAGACTGTAAATCCTACAGAGAGTATGTTTATAACAGATTTTCTTACTCAGTTTTTTTAACTTGATGAGATGGCAAGATGCTGAGCACAGCTAATCTACCCAGACTTTATTTCCTACCTTAATGGAAAAACTGCTATTCTCATAACTGTAATGGCAAGAGAGAAAGATTAGTCATATTGCTTCTTGCTTAGGAAAGGATGTGACTAACTTTTCCCCAAATAAAGGAGTTCTTTCCAATACTGCACTACTCCTGGTTTTGTTTTTCATTTTGTGAAGGAAACAATTCTAAACTTCTCTCTAGTTCTTCTGATCAATAGCTACTACGTACAAAGTAAAATGTGCATTTTATTGTTTCCATGGCAAATCAACAGGATCAAATACTGACACCTCTATTCTCTGAAAGAAAATGCTTTCTTCTTGTAAAATAACCATATTCTCCTACACAGTTAAGAATCCAAATGTACCAGAAATCTAGGAATATAGAATAGAACTTTTACAAAAATGTATAAAATGGTTTTTATCAAGTAGCTTTATTATTACACCATTTTACAGTTATGATCATTAGATGCCAAGATAGTAAATCATTTTAGACCAACTTACCAATGGCCTTTGTATAATGCCTTGCACCAAGCAAAAGTTCTGGAGCCCGATACCAAAATGTCACAACTACTGGATCCAAATCTGCTAGTGGCTTTAGAGGAGAATTGAATAATCTGGCAAAACCCATGTCAGCTAAAAAATAAAATAAATTAACATAAAATTCAGTTTGATCGTTTCTCAGCTTTTTGGCTAAGACCAAGTGTAAAATTCAGTTTGACATGCTATTAGAACCATGCAGGGTTGACAACAATAGCCACTGACCTTATAAAGCAATCCTTTTCTTCCCTTTTTAAACAAAGGTGTATACCAGGTACCAGAAAGGAATTGCTTCATTTACCTTTATTACCTACCATCAGAAGTAGCTACTATTGTTGCACCTGTTTCACTGATGAAGAAATTGAGGCTTAAAGATATTCTGGGCTGGCGCAGTGGCTCATGCCTGTAATCCCAGTACTTTGGGAGGCTGAGGTGGGATCACCTGAGGTCAGGAGTTCTAGACCAGCCTGGCCAACATGGTGAAACCCTACCTCTACTAAAAATACAAAAATTAACTAGGCGTGGTGGTGCACGCTTGTATTCCCAGCTACTTGGGAGGCTTAGGCAGGAGAATTGCTTGAATCCAGGAGGCGGAGGTTGCAGTGAGCCGAGATTGCGCCACTGCACTCCAGTCTGGGCAACAGAGTGAGACTCCGTCCCCCATCCCCCAAAAAAAGATATTTTGATTTGCCCAAGGTCACAGAGCTACTAAGTGCAGAGTCAGAATTAGAATCCAAGTCTGACTTTAGATTCCTGGCTTTAAGAGACAGTTACAAAAACATTCTTGTTTTTTGAGATCTAAAAGAGTCCAAAAATCTCCCTGATTAATAAGGACTTCTGTGTGCTTATAAATCTAAAAACTGACAAAAATAGTCCCAAAGTCTCCCTGATTAATACACCTTCTGTGTGCTTTTATGTCTTTAGTAAGACATAAAGCTTGACTATGTCTTAGTTCAGTATGTGCTGCAGCCAGATCCAACAAACTCACAAGAGCTCATTTGTACATATCTCTTCTCAATTCTGCATTCAGTGACAGCATACTGATGATTTGGAATTGGCTATGGTAGGAGTATCTACAACATGCAGCAAATGCGACAAATTGGGACTTTTTTTGCTCCAGAGAGCCAGGTGCTGAATGGTAATCAGCACATCACATGCATATTTTTAAGAACATACACAGAACACACAAAAGATAACTGGCTGTAATTCAGCATTTAACAAAGATCTAAACCAAAGCTAATCAATTGAAATATTACAAGTATACAAAAGTAGTAAAAATAAAAGAATAAAAAAAAAACTACTACTGCAATAAGATCCTGGAAACTAATTTTCTTAAGATATCATACATAACAAACACCTTTTATCTAGAAAGTCCTTTGCAGTTTACAAATGGCTTTCATATACATCATATTTTACCTCATTGAATGCTCATAAGAACATTGGTTTAATCAGTATTTTGCTCCCTATTTCAGAGATGAAGAATCTAAAGTCCAAAGAAGTTAAATGACTTGCCTATGGTCACAGGGATAGTAAATAAAGGTGCCAGTACTCAAACAAAAACCATGTTATAATTTGGGAGTTACCTTCTTAACTACTAAATCTGACATCCAACAAATTTTACATATGATAAATGCAAGTCACCAAGGCAAATTCACAAGAACGATAAGCCTCTATAATTTGAATACATAATATACATAGCAAATTTTGATTGCATAAGGGGTCCCAATATACTATAAAATGCATAAATGCACATAAAAGTTACAACCACAGAATGTCATTTAATCTTAAAACTAATATGCTATGATATAATGCACATTAAAATTTTACATTTACATAAGCAGAATAGGCAAAAAATCTTTTTAACTTATAGTGATTTGGGTTTTTGTTTTGAGATAGAATCTCATTCTGTTGCCCAGGCTAGAGTGTTGTGGCGTGATCTTGGCTCATTGCAACCTCTACCTCCCAGGTTTAAGTAATTCTCCTGCCTCAGCCTCCTGAGCAGCTGGAATTACAGGTGGTAGACCACCACGACTGGCTAATTTTTGTAATTTTAGTAGAGACGGGATTTCACCATGTTGGCCATGCTGGTCACAAACTCCTGACCTCAAGTGCTCTGCCTGCCTCAGCCTCCCAAAGTGCTGGGATTACAGGCATGAGCCACCACACCCAGCCTATAGTGATTTGTTTCTTTGGATTTTGAATAATTTGTAAGACTTTTTTGGAGAATGCTTTGGAGTATCCAGCTCTTAAAAACTAAAGCTATCTAAAGGAAGCCTAAGTGCTGATGTCTCCTCTGTTTAAACTACATTTCCCTATAACAAACAAAAATATTCAACTTCATTCTACCAATATTATACCTATTATTCTACAATATTACACAATATTCAAGGCACTGTTTTATATATTTAATAGATGCTGATTGTTGTTGATGACAAAGTAATATGATGGAATGCTGTTTCATCCATTGAAAAACATTTTGAAGTGAAGTCAGCTAAAGCCAATATTTCTCCCCTTATTCTCTACCTCCTTAGTTTTACCTAAACCTCATCTATTCACTTTCAGATGAAATCAAGGCCAGAAGGAAAAAAACAGATACTTTCAAAAACAATTCCCGTCTATTGCATGAACTTTAAAAGAGTTTCAAACTACTTTTCAAATAATTACTAATTTAGACAAAAGGTAATTAGCTTAAAGATTACTCTAACAGCTGACTTTCTAAATTTACTAACGGATGTAATTGTTCCAGTCCATGGATAAGGGTAGCACAATTCTGGTGTGGGTGCTAATTAGTATCAAATGATGAAAAGCAGCAACAAACAAGGTTTACCGCTAAGGAGCTTACATGAAGGTAAGATGACAAAATATACAGAGTAGATAAAGGCAAAAAAGTGATAACTGCTGTGAAAATAAAGGAAGTTGTTACTGGTTTCTACTAGAAGCTAAGCCCCGTGGGGGAAGGTCTATTTCTCCTTTATGATGTTATCTGGAACAATGTATAATAAACATTTGTAAAAGTGGACTAAATTGAAAGTGGAACTTGGGCTGGATCCTGAAGGAAAAATTGTTTTGAATAGCAAAAAAGGAAGGCAATAAGTATTTTAGGTAAGATCTGGGAAGTTTTTACATTGCTGAGAATGGGAAGGCTCAATGTGCCCCTACAGCAAAGGGCACAATGCGTTTTCCATTCAACCATCCATCCTCCCCCACCCCCACCCCAGAGTCTCGCTCTGTTGCCAGACTGGAGTGGCTTACAGCAACCTCTGCCTCCAAGGCAAGCGATTCTCCTGCTTCAGCCAACAGGTGCATGCCACCACACCCAGCTAATTTTTGTATTTTTAGTAGAGACAGGGTTTCACCATGTTGGCCAAGATGGTCTCGATCTCTTGATCTCATGGTCCACCTGCCTCAGCCTCCCAAAGTGCTGGGATTACAGGCGTGAGCCACTGTGCCCGGCCCAACTATCCTTTTCTTTTAAGCCAAAAAAGAACTACATCAAAGCATTAGGCAAGGCATCAGTATTACTAATGTTAAAAAAAAAAAATAGTAGCTATTAAAACAAAATTTAAAAGCCATCTAATAAACTATCTTGATTGTCCACTAGATCCTTATCATTAATTATTGCTTACTTTTAACCCTAGTTTTATCCCTAATCTTGGTAAAATTATAATCTTAAAACTCATAATAGTAAGGTAACTAACTGGCCTGGCCAGAGTACAGAATTTTATGTTAAGGAGTATTAAGAGAAGACATTAGATTTGGGTTACTGGGAGAAATGTGATGAATGGTTCAAACAAGGGGAATATAAGATGGTGATGATGAATTTGGTTTGGGACAATGGAGGATAAGTTACCAGCAAGACATCCAAACAGAAATAAAGACTTCAGCTAGGGTGAGAGATTAGAATCTGGTATCAAGATCTTAGATCTAAGATTCTAAGGCCACAACTTATCAATTTCCTAAAGAAGTAATTTTAGAGGGAGGCCACGTCCTAAACCAGTGCCTTGAAACAACAGGTTAGCAGGAGTAAGAGGCAAGGATGAATTAAATGCAAAGTCACAGCAAAAGTGGGAGGTGGAAAAATGGAATTACGGTATGTCACATAGACCAAGGGAGAAGGCAGCCTCAAACCCAGACTGTCAGAAGAACAAATGGTTTACTGCAGTAAAGGAGAATGGTGACTAAAGCCCACTTGATTTGGTAAGGCAGAGGTCACAGGTGTCCTTTTAGAGAGCACTTTTAATAGAATGATGGAATTAGAGGCCAGATTATAACAAATTAGAGCAAGTGGAACCAAAATGTGAACATCATGTGTTCTAAAAGTAGAGGAACAAAAGGGAAAATGAATAGAACAAATGCTAAAGAAAACAAGATGGATATAAGACTTATTTTAAATTGGGAAGAGGACAATGAAAGTTTAAAGGTGAAAAAGAGAAACTTGAGAAGGGAAGAATGGCAATACTGTCCCATGAGGAGCTTAAGCAAGATATTTAGAAGCTAGGAAGGGCACTAGAAGATAGGACTTAGGGAGGGAAAGTCTCTCTTTCACAGAGGCTGTTTCAAGGGCAGGGCTGTACAGCCAAAGACTGGAGGTCAGTGAGACCACACCAGACTGCTCTGCTATCACTAGGAAGGGATATTTGTAGGGAAAGAGCCTCAGGACTTGGAATTCAAGTTCCAGCTTTGAAAGGCAGAGCAAGCTACAACCTCTCTAAGTCTTCCTTATCTTCAGGGGGTGGTTGTATAAAATAAATGAGGTAATATATGAAAGCATCTATTGCGATGTATAGTAAGCTGTTCATTTTACTATATCTCACAGAAGGGACCATCCTCTATCTTCCTTTCACCTGTATTTGGTGAAAAGTAGGAACTCAATAAATGCCTCTAAGAAAAGGAGTACAAGAGTAAAATAAAAATAGAGACGAGAAGCTGTGGTGGAAGTGGTGGGGGAGAAGAGAAGGAAAGCTACCAGCTATTAATTAACATCACCAAATTTCTGAATGAATCAGAATCTCAGCAAACTCAGGATAGAGGTGTTTAAATAAAAGGAAGTTGATTTAGAACAGCTGCTTCAGGAACTGGGCTAGGGAGTTAACTGAAGAAGTAGAAAACTAAACAGCAGGGCAGGCTTGAAATAGGGCAGCGTAAATTTGTAGTGGGTCACCTGAGCATAATTTTGCATCACCTTTAGCATTGTACTTTTTTTTTTTTTTTTTTGAAATGGAGTCTCACTGTGTCGCCAGCTTGAGTGCAGTGACGCGATCTTGGCTCACTGCAACGTCCTCATTCAAAAGAATATTGAATGCTTTTTAGAAATATGTTAAAATAAGATTTGTTCATCAGCCCAGTTTCTTTGCTATTAGAATATACCATGTTAGGCCGGGCGTGGTGGCTCATGCCTCTAATCCTAGCACTTTGGGAGGCCGAGGCAGGCAAATCACCTGAGGTCAGGAGTTCTAGACCAGCCTGGCCAACATGGTGAAACCCCATCTCTACTAAAAACAAAAAAAATTAGCTGGGCGTGGTGGCGGGCTCGTGTAGTCCCAGTTACTTGGGAGGCTGAGGCAGGGAGAATTGCTTGAACTCAGGAGGCGGAGGTTGCAGTGAGCCGAGATCACGCCATTCCACTCCAACCTGGACAACAGAGTGAGACTCTATATCAAAAAAAAAAAAAAAAAAAAAAAAAAAAAAAAAAAAAAAAAAAAAAAAAAAAAAAAAAAATCATCACTGTAAGATCTGGCAAAAAGAAAAAATAATAATAGTAATAATAATTAACAAAAAAATTAGAATAAAGTATTTCTTAGGTCATCTTCTCCCAAATATGTCACAGTTATATATAAATGATGCTAACTTTTTTTAGAACATTCATGATTACAAAGGAAATCTTAATATATGATAAGATTCCTGCCAGTGCCGCAATCTAAGAGAGGCAGCTAAGAGAGGCTGTAAATACATATATCCATTTGGAAAAGATATGTTAGTACTTGCTCAAGATGTGCAGGCCAAGCGTGGTGAAGTAGGGAGAACCTGTGAAGGTTTAAATGTATTTGCTCAGAGTGGGGAGGAAAATATCCAGGGAGATAATATTTGGTAAACCTGAAACAGAGGTAAGATTTAGAGGATTATACTTAAGGCAGCTGTGCAGGACAGTGGTGGTGACATAAACACATGCTTGGGTTATCCTACAGGGGGAATGAATGATTTTGTGAACTTGCTTGTCAATTTCCAGTGATGCCTCAACTTAGAACTAAATAATCTTATTTTGGGAAAAAGCCTAGGAGTTTTATAGACTATCTACATTTTCCAATATCTTTTCTAAAAATATTATGAGGAAGTAATTTTAAAATTAACTACCTAAATAAGGGCATTAAAAAGGGAAACCATCTTTGCAGTTAACTTCAGTTTTTAAATAAATTATTTTAGGAATAATTACCTACCTATTTTGACTCTCCCCCTCTCAGGACCTTCTCCCATTACTAGGATATTTGCTGGTTTCTAGAAATAAAAATAGAGCATTCAAATTACTATGTTTATTCTTTTGACATGCTCTAAAATGGAGAAAAGTTCTTATCATATAAAAGTATCATTTCTGTATTTTCATCAAAACTAAATCAAATATTAAGCACCCTCTACATAGTTAAAGCATTTGACATACTTGAAGTCAGCACTAACTTTATATAAACATCCTTGCTATGGAAACACACCTTATTTTCAAAATTACATCATACAAATAATTACAAAGCAATTAAAGCTATCATTTCTATTCACTCCATAGAAATAACTAATAATATTTTTTAAACCTGCCCAGAGTTTATGTGGTTGAAAAATTTTACATAAAATTTCAAACCACAATATCATTGCCTTTGTGTAAATAAGTGAAATGGAATATTCCTTCCTAAATATTTCTAAACTACCACAGGAAAACATGAACAGCATTCAACAATTCTATTAAAATTCATGCATCAGCTATCATACATGCAAAAGAAAGAAATTCCAAATATAATTTCAAGATGTAGGAAAATAAAAACCAAGGCTAATACAGAACTACAAAAAGAATGAGTAGGCAGATAATCTTATTTTGGGAAAATGTATCTACCATATTTCAGTCACCCTTATCTGTAGACACCTGGAAACAGAGGAACTGTTGGGACAGACTTTGGAAGGAGAAGCGAGTTAGTCTCCTTTGTAAAGTCTTTGGAGAGAAAATTTATGTGTTTTTAACTTACTGGATTCATTTATTCAACCAACGAATGTATTTTTAATATCTTCTAAGGATAAAAAACCATGCTAAGCTTTAAGACAGAAAACAAAAGCAAAGTAAAAACAGATATAGGTGACAGGAGGATGGAGGCAGCAAACCACCTTGCCATGTTTGTACCTATGCAATGATCCTGCATGATCTGCACATGTACCCCAGAACAATAAATAAATTAAAAAAAAACAAGTTCCTAACCTCCAGATGCTCACTACCTAAAGAGAAAGAAAATTAAGAAGCATTGTGTAATATTAGAAACTAGTGCTGTGTATGAGTT